AGTTGGAGCTTTGTCAAATCTTCAAAGGTTGTCTCCAAGATTCTACCTTTCATACATTTGAGCATCTAGGAGGGTAAGATCTATGTTCATCTTGTGTTTTTAGTGTTTTCTAAGGTGTCTTTCTTTAAAGATAGAATCTTTATGATCTTTTGGTGTGTTCTTGAAGTGAGTTTGGAAGGTGAGCCTTAGTAGGAGCTTGGTGAAGTGTTAAGTGAAGGTTTTTGTCTACAAGAGGTAACCCATGCTCTACAAAATCTATTTTGTCTACCTATATGATGATTTCTTGGATTCTACATGTGATTTTGCTATGAAATGTGAGTGTTGATGCATTGTCTTGTGAAAATGCATATCTAGAGCTTGTTATTAAGGTTCTTGTATGCCATTGCTTGGCTATTCCTTTGATTCAAGTCATTTTGTTGTATTTGGTGAGATTTGGCATGTTTTGGATTTGAATTTGAGCTTGGAGTTGAAAATCCCCGAAGGGATTATTTGTGGTACAAGTGATGTACCCGCGGGCGGAACGGCGGGCGGGGCACCACCCGTCGCCCCACCCGCGGCCTGCGGGGTACAAGGCCTCGTGGGAGTGGTTCCTGCGGGCGGAACAACGGGTGGAGGTCCACTCGTGGCTCCACCCGCGGGTACGTATATGGTGTTGGTGTTGTTTGGGGATTTGTTCCCCGTGATTCTTTTGACTCGGTATTTGGTCTTTTGACTTCCCGATGTTCTTTTGTGGAACTATTAAGTGTCTTCTTGATGTTTCGTATGTCTAGAACTATATGGTAGGCATCCATGTAGGTTTTGGTGTCTTGAATCGTGCTAAGTGTTCAACATTGTGATTCGTTGAACCGTGATGAGTCTTGTGTGTCCTTCGGAACTACGTTTGGTTTACCCATTTGATAAGCATGCTAGTTCGGTGTTTAAATGTTAGCGTGTGTGTTGTTTGTACCTTCCTATTGTTGATGATAACTTGTGTTATTCATCGTTGTTGTTGGATTGTGATCCATCCCTTGATTGAGTATGGTTTCATATCTTCGTTGTGATCCGTTGATTGATTCCTATTGTGGTGTGGTGTGTGGCTGTACCTGGATTGCACGATTTTGGTTTATGGGGCCTTAATCACCAAGGTACGGCAGTGGTCCTCGTGGTGGCCATGACGTGATTATGGAGTTTGTGACTTGTGTGTCGGGTTCACGTATTTCTTGGGAGGCGTGTGTCGCCGTGTGTGTGATCGGTACCCTCGTGTACTATGAATTGGTGGTCTTGTTGGTGGTTGTCGGTGGGGGACGACGGTCCCAGGAGGGAAAAGGTTGGACTTGGTTGTACAGGGGTCCTGGAGGTAAAGGTTGGAACTAGATATAAGGTTGGGGGTAGCCATAAGGTTGGAACCGGGCATAATGAAGGCATATCAATTCGTGATGGGTGATGTCACGAAGGCTTGTGTAGCCGTTGTTGTGAGTTTCTCTTCTTGTGACGTGTGTAGTCACAAAGGCATGTGTTGCCTTTGGTTGTGTCCTTATTCTCTTGTGTTATGCATGTCGGGTGTTAATCTACTGTGTGATGGTAGATTATACCTTGAGCCATTCTTGTGAGTCGTTGTATCTCGTGTGGTCTTGGGATGTGTTCCCTTATCTTGTTGTGGGTGCTTAGAGTCTTGTGTTGACTTCTGCTCTTGGTTTTGAATGATATTTCACATGTATGGGTGGGTTACCAACATTATTCGCTGACCAGGCGTCGTCCCATCTTTTATGTGTTTCTTTCAGGTGATGTGTAGACATGAGCGCGGTCTAGAACCTGCTAGTGTAGTTCCCATGTTTGAGTTGTTATGGCCTGTGTGTCAAGGATAGACTTTAGTACTTTGGTTATGTATGGATTTTAGATTATGATCATGCAGATGTTAGCCTGTGCGTTCACCTCTGGGTGAGCGTGGCATAACACCCTTTCATTTCCAGTTTATATAATCATTTTTCAGTCTTCCGCTGTGTTTGATGTTTTGATTAGTTATCTGCATGTTTAATGCTTAAATTAGCATGGAAATTAGGGGGTGTTACATCATCATCGTCTACATCAGCCAGAGTCAAATTAACACACATGTGTGAGATGTCGTTTCCATTATCAGAAGCCAGGTTTCCGTCGTAGACGCCGGAACCCTAGAAAAGTAGGGTTAGAGAGCTCGCGAATAGCATCAAGATAAAAAAAAAACTTAATTATTATATTTGTTTACTTATTTTTATTATTTTACTATTAGAATCAAATTATTTAGTAATTACAAAATTTAAAGAAGATTTCATAAATCAAATCAAATCAAATCATGCCTCAAACTGTCAAAAATGACAGGAGTCAGTTAAACAACCAAATTTTATATTTAGACATAGAACAAGCTAGCACAACCCTAACTAACTCATGGGCAACGCTATTCGTTGAATGTTTAACGAAAGAGAAATTAACTTGAGGGATATTCTTCACAATCTACGATGATATCTGATAAGAAGCAAACCAAAAAAGTGCTCAACTCTTGAACCCAACTGAGAACTTCTCTAACTCCCATAGCTTCAACATCCTTTAGTAGGTACATTCATCTCTATGGTATATATTTAGCCACCACAACACTTCTTTATTTATGATCACATAACATATACTTATCATTTTTTCTTGTTGTATTAATGGTGGCGTCAACATTGAGCTTAACCTAGTCTACCTGGGATTTCTTCTACTTTGTTTCAGTATGCGATTAAGTTTAGTTGATCGAGGATGATCAAGTTTCAATCCTTCTCTAATTGATCAGAAGATTTTTCACTCCTATAATGGAATGAAGAGAATGCAAGATTTTGTTAGAACTTTGTATTTTTAGCCTCCTAAATGCACAAACATACTATAAGAATTAAGCATCTAATTTCCTCATTAGGCTTTGACAGAGTGTGAGAAGTCCAATTCATTAAACTCACAAAATCAACCAAATACATTCTCAGTCCCCAGATTAATTAAACTACAACAATTACGAGTTACAAGCCACTCTAGGGTAGACATGTATGTCTTAGGAGTCAACATTTACTTTTTGACCTTTAGGCATTGTATTTTAATTAAATATAGTAAATAAGTGTTTTATTTATTTTATTTTGGCTCAATTAATATATGATATTATTCCATATATAATCTTCTTAATCCTTCATTCTTAAGAAGTTAAGAATATGATAGGTAAAGAATTAATAAATGAAGTATTGTAAAAATGTTCTTAGTCATAGGAATTTTAATTGGGTATTAGAATTCTAATAAGACTAGCACATTGTCCTTTTTATGACGAGTTTATGCCATTTTGTATGAGATACGAAGAGTGGACATGTGGATGATTGTTAGAGAACAAGTCGTTGAATAATGACTAACTACAACGTATCACATGGTGTTTACCTACGTGTCATCGTATGTTGTATGTTGCGAGTATGCAATAATCCTTTGACTTGAGACGTCATGGTTGTCTCGTACACATGCGTGGTGGGCTTGTGTTTGCCAGGATGCGTCTTTTGTTCCTTATGAGGCTATAAGTGTACTTGGTGACCTAATTCAGTATTGTACGGAGACATGTGCATGTGCGTTCAATAGAGGATTCACCGCCTTGAGGTAACAAGAATGTTCTAGTCTATTCAATAATCTTACAACGAGAATCTCTGGTCAAAGTATAATGAAGTTGGACTTCAATTTAAGTATATTGAATAGACATATTAAACTAGGTTTATGAGTTTGACCATGACATTTGTCTCGTTCAAAACAAGTGTTGTGTATGTGGAAGGAATGTTGCATGATATTTGTAATGGTAGTTCATCATAATATATATATATATATTTCATTGTCAACTAGACAGTCATGACATACTGACATACAGTTAGGTATCACTCATGACTTACGAGTTATTTAATAATGAGTTATTAAATATTACTTGTTGCTAATTTGACTATGAACCTAGAAAGTCACACCTTAACAAGAGAGAAAAACTTGTTATGAAAGAAGAAGGAAAAACTTAGCTTAGCTTTTATATACAATTTTTTTATTCCCCATGATTGAAGTTTTTTTTTTTTTTTTTTTTTTTTTTCTTCTCAATTTTTTGCTTGAGTTCTTTTAGTGGTTGAAATGCCATCATAATTAGCACTATTTAAATAAATTCGTTGATAGATGACCAAAAATGATTATACCACAATAATATTAAGACCAACCGAGAATGTTTAAAAAAAAAAAAAAAAACTAAAAGTAAAATGTAATATATAAATTTATGACAAAAAATGAAATTAACTCTATTTTTAATAAAACTAGGATATTGTGACACCCTCCTAAATTTGTTTTGTTTCTTATTGGGAAAATGGTCAAATAGACCCTCGAACTTTAACCTAAAAGTCAATTAGGCCCCTAAACTTTTTAAAGATGCAATTACACCCATCAACAATTCATTTAGGTGCAATGAAACCCAAAAACAAGTTAATGACCTGCTATCACAAGTCATTAGAGTTCAGGCCACCTTCCGGCGAAATTTTCGGCAAAAAAAAAAAAAGTGACCCGCGAAATTTCCTGCAAAAAAGTGACCGGCGGCGACCGATCATCGATCGCCGGTCACTTTCTTTTTTTGCTGGAAATTTCGCTGGTCGGTGGCCAGTCACTTTTTTTTTTTGCCTGAAGGTAGCCTGAACCCTAATGACCTGTGATAGCATGTCATTAACTTGTTTTTCGACTTCTTTGCACCTAAATGAATTGTTGATGATGTAATTGCACCTTCAAAAAATTTAAAGGTCTAGTTGACTTTTAAGCTAAACTTTGAAGGCCTATTTGACCCTTTTCCCTTTCTTATTTAATTTGCCTCCACTTGGGCATTTCAATTCTGCAGTGGTGGCCAAAATGTGATGACAATTGGTTGCATGAATCTGTGAATTTGACCAAGTGTTGAAATTCCCAACTATACATTATTATTATTATTATAATTATTATTAAAATATTAACCCATCACACATGTTTAGCGCACCCTTCCCAACTCCCCCAACAGATACTCAGCTGTTTCATAACTTTCAGAACAGTCACCCCTCCGCTGTCATGGCAATGCGCCTTCAATTCTCTTCAGATTCTATTCTCTCCTCTCTCATCTCTCAATTTGGTAAACCACTTTAGTTTACCAAAAAGGCAAGACAAAATTTATACACACACACCCTTTTCCTTTTCCTTCAACATTCGCCATTTTTCTACACCAACCCACCACCTCTCTCACCTTCCAAACTTCCAATTCAACTCACTTTTTTGCGCTACTACTCCTATCCTACTATTATTAGTTGAATTGAGGGATAAAGATTGAATCTTGGATTGTTTTAATTTCCTCGGAGATAGATGATGATGAAGAGGTTTCGCCTTCCTTCTTCTTCCTCTTCTTGCTCTTCGTCTTCCTCGTGCATTATTGGGTCCGGCGGCACTGAGATTGAGGTTCTCCCGGAGCCTGTGAAGCCCATTCCTCAGCCCGAACCCAGGCCCAAACGCCCCAGAACCAAGAGAAATCAAATCCTCAATGCCCATTCCCCCACATCTGGGTCTACCAGGAGAAGCTCCCTTTACAGAGGAGTTACCAGGTACACTAACTACTACCCTATCTGTTAGTATCTAATGTTTATCGGTACACCAAAAGTGATAGTTTGTTAAAAAAGATGAACTTTATTTCCTTATTCAGTCATATTTTTATTTCAACATTTTCAAGAGGCTGGACACGGTTCTATGTTCATAATTACTTAATTATATGTTCATAATTAGAAAGCTATATATTCATAATTATTGAATTTTATATTCATAATTACAGAACTCTATGTTCATAATTACTGAATTATATGTTCATAATTATAAAACTATATATTCATAATTTTTGAACTTTATATTCACTTATTGAATCTCTATATTCATAATTACAGAACTATATGTTTATAATTATGTTCATAATTTTTGAACTATGTATTCATAATTATGAACAGTTTTGGAACCGTGTCCATCTTGCAAAATGGACACGGTTCCACAACATAATTTGCCCCACCTGGTTGACTTGGCCTTCACGGGCCTTCGCCCAACAGTAAATGAGCTAGTGAAAATGGAAAATTTTATAATGTTTAAAAAAAAAAAAAAAATCTTTAGAAGGTAGTATCTGTTCTGTATTTTCTTGATGCCCTATTACTGGATTGTGACCAGGCATTTGGAACGGTAGCCGAGGTGCCATTTAGAAAATTTTATGATGTTTGGCCAGTTTTGATTGCATGCATGACATTTGGGTTTATGAATTTTTTTGGTTTTTAATTCTGTAATTTTAGGCATAGATGGACTGGGAGATATGAAGCACACTTGTGGGACAAGAGTATCTGGAATAGCACTCAGAACAAGAGAGGGAGACAAAGTGATTGCTCTACTTCTACTAAGCTACTATACTATAATCCCACATTTTACTTCCTTCTCTTTTTTATGGACCCTTTTTCCTTATATAAATTGAACTAGAAAGAAAGGAGATCTGCATTAATTTTTTTTTTATCAGCTTTGCTAATTTCAATGAATTAATTAATTGATTTTATGTATCTCTCTTTTCTGACACTTGTGATGATCCTTGTCATCTGCAACCAACGCTCTTGTCGCTACATAGCTTATTTGGGTAAGCATTAATGCCTCTCTGCATTTATATTGTATATATGTATATGTTCTTGGACCAAATTTTTGTACCATATATCTCATTAAAATGATATTGAGTGCAGGTGCATATGATAGTGAGGAGGCTGCTGCCAGAACCTATGATCTTGCTGCACTTAAGTACTGGGGGCCAGGCACCACGCTTAATTTTCCGGTATTTGTTCATTTTTTGTTTTGATTTCTTCTGTATATGATTCTGTTTTCTTTGAACCGATTTTGGGTTCTTGGCATTATTTGGAGAATTATGGCATTGGTTGTGGTTTTGTAGATTGAGACATATAGCAAAGAGCTTGAGGAAATGGAGAAGTTGTCTAGGGAGGAGTTCCTAGCTTCACTTCGGCGCCGAAGTAGTGGATTTTCTAGGGGCGTTTCTAAGTACCGTGGTGTTGCAAGGTACAAAATATACGTCAAAAAGTATAGAAAGTGAATCAAGTCATGCACTCGAGCATTTTCTCTTTTGGAAACTGTTAGGATGAAGCGTTTACCATTTATAGCGAATGCGCAACTTTATTTCTTTATATTGCTGCCACATTTTCTAGAGGCAGGGTGCTGGACTTGGCCCTTCAGACCTCTGCCCAACAATCCCCCTAGCTACCGGGTGCTGGATTTGGCCCTTTAGGCCTCTGCCCAACAATACCCTAGCTACCGGGTGCTAGACTTTGCCCTCCACTGGCCTCCACCCAACAGAAACTATGTATTGAAAACTAGAAATCAACATCCTTGTGCATTTTCAAACTATGTGATGTGATCTATTCTTTTAGTTTGTTACAACCCCGCTTGAGTCGAACTATCGAATTTTCACAGGCACCATCACAACGGTCGTTGGGAGGCACGAATTGGACGAGTCTCTGGGAACAAGTATCTTTACTTGGGGACTTTCAGTATGTTTGCTTTTTATCCATCTACCCTCTACTATAAATTATACATTGCAAATTCTTCAACTGTCTTAGCTTGCTACTTACTTTCTTCTATATCTATGTGACATTTTTGCCTTCATTATCTATGATCTATTTCTTAATTCTTAGTATATTGTCTGATGATTTGAAAATGAGGTTATTTTCCTCTTCAACTGTTTTAGTTTCCCTGGATAATTATGGATCTTATAGTGATTCGTTTACGCTTATTATTGAAGGCACTCAAGAGGAAGCGGCTACAGCGTATGATATGGCAGCGATCGAATACAGGGGTTCGAATGCAGTGACGAATTTTGACATCAGCGTTTATGCAGATAAGCTGAAAGAAATCCGGGAAAGGAACGAGAGGGAACAGCAGGGAAACGATGAGTCCTCGTGTGAAGTTGAGTCCAAAGAACACAAAGAAGAAAGCCCGAAATGGAATCAAGAGGAAGAATACTTTGTGGAAGAGATCGTTCCAAAGTTAGAGGGAATGGAACACACTAAACTCCCAAAACTCGAATTTGCTCCTTCTTGTTCCTTGCCTATGATGACACCGATTGACCCTCTGGAGGAAGAGCCCGAAAGCTTTTGGAACGACTCGTTTCCAGTTCATGATCTTCATCTGGACGAGAAGCCTTCTTACCTGCTCGATTTCTTCAACGACTCCAGCATAGGAAACAGCCTCGATTTCCTTTTCGAGGAACCATCTAGTGGCAGCACACTCATCTCCGATGAATTTGAAGCTATGGTTAACGAAGGACACAATGCCGCCTTTACTGCCCCTTCGCCTTCATCTAATTCGACAACATTGTCGGTATATGGAGAAATTTCTGCTGCTTCAAAGTTGTTAAACTGTTAGCAGTTTTTTTTAGGTTGTAGTTTAGACAGGAGACAAGGTATGATTGACTTGCATACACAGGTTTAGTGTTTTTATTAACTTCTCCACATTCAGTATTCTTAGAGTTCTGTTTTTATTTATTTATTTTTTTGATAAAAATTTTCTTCTCAGAATATGAGGACCCATACTGCCCAGAAATGTTAAATACAGTAAAAAAAAAAAAAAAAAAAAAGTAACTTTAAGAGGTGATTTTGCAGTAAAAATGCTGTTGAGATTTTGTGAGTTCTGGCCATAGAGGGAGAAGTAACTCTCAGAGGTCTGTAATTTGCTTTTTATGTAAAAATTGTGGTATATGAGAGAATCAAGATTTGATTAGTGGTTTCCCATTTTGGCAATTGATGATTAGGAATCAAATGATAATTTTTTATAAAAATGGAGTTGACATAAATAAATAAAAATATAAAATTTAACTGAAACAAAAAGAAGGCGGCATTGAAAAGGACAACAAAAGCTTCAGCCTGGCTGTATTGGTCCATCCCACACATGCACTACAAAGGTATCCACTTGGTTGTTCCACTAGATCCTCCAACTCCAAAATATGTGTCATTTGTGGCTAACAATTTTTACTCTTTTTTTTTTTTTTTCTTAAATACTTATTTCAAAAATAAAATAAAAAATATTTTTCAAAAGATGTCTCATTTAAAAAAATACTTTTGTTTTCTTTATTTTTAAAAATATTTTATTTTATAGTGTTTGATTAAAAGTTAGTAAATTATCTTTTTTTTTTTTTTTTGAAAGTTACTGGCTCTATTACATTGTAGTATCTGTGCATATACTTTCTCAACCTACTGAAACACAAAGAACCAATAACGCCTCCACTGAGGCTTGAACTCATAATCTTCCAAATGGAAGTCCAACCCGGATACCATTAGACCACATAGTCCTGGTTTTTTTTTCCTTAGTTTATTTTCTAAAAAAATAAGAAAAATTTATTACGAAAGTTATATTTTATAGAAAATTAATTATTTTAAATTGATAAATGTAATAATTTTGAATTTTAAAAAGAGTAAATACCCAAAATGGTCCCTCGACTATAGCTGAATTCACAAATTGGTCCTCGACTTTCAATTTTAACAAATTAAGTCCTTAACTTTGTAATTTTAACAAAATTTGGTCCTCGGTCTATTTGACCGTTTGTTGACTGTGATTTTTGAGGATATATATGCAATTTCATGGTCCATCGTTGATTTTTTAAAGTTCTGGTTGCATTTCCAGACCGCACTGTTACATTTAAATCCACTGCCAAAAAGCAATCTACCAAATCCGGTCGCCTTTCTTCATCCTCCCTTTGGATTCAATGTAGTTGAGTTCGTACCAGAGCGAAGAAGACGACGTGTTTCCAAACCAGTGCAACGTCATCCTGGAGGCCTCCACATGCTCCGACGAGAGCTGAAGGTTCTTCTGGAGATCGTCGATCACGCTCAACAAACAGTCAAACAGATGGAGGACCAAATCGTGTCAAAATTACAAAGTTAAGGACTTAATTGGTTGAAATTGAAAGTCGATGACCAATTTGTGAATTTAGCTATAGTCGAGGGACCATTTTGGGTATTTACTCTTTTAAAAATAAAAATAAAAAGTAAAAAGTTAAATTTTAAAACTTTTAACTTTTTGAGTTGTGGGCCGAGTTGGGCAAAATTTCTTTACTAATTACGCTAACTCGTTCTACGCAAATTATGTTGTAGACACGAGTCCAACGACGTCGTTTTAAGGGAAAATGCGGTCTTTCAGTAAAAAAAAAAAAAAAAAAAAAAAATTTTGTCTCGTCGTTAACCGCGTTATTCGTTTGTGGCATTATGAATGTATAGTTATGGAATTATGAATGTACAGTTATGAAATTATGAATGTACAGTTATGGAATTATGAACACAGAGCTCTGACATATAGTGATAAAATTATGAACATAGAGCTCTAAAATTGTGAACATAGAGTTTCGAAAATTATGAATTTACAGTTATTGAATTATGAATATACAGTTATGCAATTATGAACACAGAACTCTGACATTATGAACTTACAATTATGAACATATAGTGATAAAATTATGAACATATACTCATATAACAAAGTGGTCTGAAATTTTTAAAAAAATATGGAAGAGAACGGTGCCACTAACGGCACCGTTATCGTGTCCATTATGCATGCTGGACATGGGTCCATATAGCATAACGACGCAAATTATGCTGTGCAACCGAATGCACCTTGCAAGGTGCATACGGTTGCAAAACGGCGCCGTTTTGGTTAAAAAAAACGCGCGTCCCACTTAAAGGAGAAATCAGGTTCGATTCCCGGCAATAGCATTTTTATATATCCAGAAATTCATAACTATATATCCAGAATTTCATAACTATATATCCAGAATTTCATAACTATATATCCACAGTGAATGAATGAATTAAAAATCCACAATGAATGAATGAATGAAGTAAAAATCCACAATGAATGAATGAATGAAGTAAAAATCCACAATGAATGAACTAAATATCCACAATATATGATTGAACTAAATATCCACAATGAATGAACTAAATATCCATAAATTCATAACTATATAACCACAATTTCATAACTATATATCCACAATTTCATAACTATATATCCACAGTGAATGAATGAAGTAAAAATCCACAATGAATGAATGAATGAAGTAAAAATCCACAATGAATGAATGAATGAAGTAAAAATCCACAATGAATGAACTAAATATCCACAATATATGATTGAACTAAATATCCACAATGAATGAACTAAATATCCATAAATTCATAACTATATAACCACAATTTCATAACTATATATCCACAATTTCATAACTATATATCCATAATAATGCTATTGCTGAGAGTCGAACCTGATTTTTTTTTTTTTAAGTGGGACGCGCGTTTTTAATCAAAACGACGTCGTTTTGAACCGTATGCACCATGCGCATGGTACATTCAGTTGCACAGCATAACTATTGGCATAACGATTGCTCATTCTAAATATTAAATGGGGGTAGCCAAATATGATCAAAATAGTAACAAGGCAAATGGAATATTGGCCCACTTATTTGATACCGCTTATAGAGAGATCAGAGAGAATTGAAGCGTGAAAGAGTGATCCGAAAAATGTCTAATGTCAAAAAAAAAATGTCTAGTGCATTTTTAACTAAAGTGAGTTTTACCAGGATTATGTGGTTTAATGGTATCCGGGTTGAACTTCCATTTGGAAGGTTATGAGTTTGAGCCTTAGTGGAGGTGTGAGAAAGTATAAGTATATGAACAGATACTACAAGTATAAGTAGTGATCTTTTTCGTTAATTTCATTTTCCTTTGATAACCAAATAATAGAAAATTTAAAAAATGACTTTTAAGAGTCATTTTGAAGCATTTTTTGAATTTTCAAACCAACTCAATCTTAGTTATATTCTTTATTTAATTTTTAGCAAAGTAACAAATTTGTTCTTTAAGATAAATATTAATATTAATTTTAGGGGCCAAATCTATCACTTTATCTAAAATTTAAGCATTAAATTTACATAATGAATAAGTGAGAAATTAAATAGGGGTCAACAATTTTCCCTAGTACGTGTATGTTTTCTAGGGTTTTTCCTCATAACATTTCTTTAGGATTTTCTTCCGTTTTCTTGGGTTAATATGTTCGATTTTTTCCTCAGAGTTTCTTCGTAGATCTAACTGTGAATTGTTTTTCGTGTGTCTGTGGATTTAGCTGATAACAATGGATCGGACTTTCATTAGCCACGTGAACGGTGCAAGAGGAAGATAGTGTCTTCAATGTAGTCTTTTGACTTTTAAATTGTTATGGTTCAAGGAAATCAGTGAGCACGGATTTCCGAAGCTAGAAGATGAAGAAGAAATCAATGCAAAAGTGAAGAAAATGAAGAAGTCAACATCCGAAAAATGACTTCTCCTTTAGAAAAGAGGAAGTTATTTTCCGGAAAAACAAGTCTATTTTTCATTGATCAATGCCTCATTTTCAGTTGACTTTAAAATTTCCTTCTTTCCAAACATTAAAAACTAGAAAAATAATTTCCAGCAATCATTTTTCGAGTTTTCAAACACACCCAATCTATAGCCACCGTGCCCGTGAGGCGGTGAGTAAAAGTGTAGTTAGCAAAACTAATTCTCTATTCCTAGTGAGAGTGAGCACCCTAGCCACGTGCGTGGCTAGGACCATGCTACGCAATAATCTGCTGCTCCACGTGAATCATTTTCTTCTTCATTCTTTGATGAACTCCCTCTAAGCTCTCGCACTCACTTCATGCCAATATGACTCTGGCTAAATTCTTGGGCCAATTTGTTCAAATTTGTGCAATATTCATCACATTGTCTTTGAATCGCCTAATCGATCAACAAAGAAGCTAGAAATGAAATAAATGCATGCTTTGCTTGAAAATAGTATAATATCATGCAAATTGGGGGCCAAATATCACCATACAAATAGTATAATGAAACTAAGCACTATCAAGGTAGAACAAAGAGAAGGGAACCCAAGAAAGACTGAAGGGAAGGTTGCTTACCCGGACTTGAGATCAACATCACTCTCACAATTGCTAATTATAAATCAAAGCTATTAAAGCATTAAATGAAGACATAGGAAAAAGATGTTAAAGAATTGAAGTTGATTTGGCGGCTTCAAGCCCCACCTTGAGCAAGGGCAGGCTGTGCCTTGCCCAGGGTCCATGCTTGGAAGGGCCCACCAGCCTATCTCATTACCTTTTATATACACTATAGATGTTTCGTATAATATTTTAGTATAAATTTATGTCATCGGATTGAAAATTCTCTGAGTTGGAAGGATTTGTGCTCAACTTCATATGTACCTTTACATTAATTTTTCATCCCTATTCAGGGATAGTAAGTATTATATAGTATTAAAATTGTAACTTATGAAATTTATTTATATTTTTTATTTGTATTTGTAATTTTGTGATTTTTTAGCTTTCTATAATTATAGTGAGATTTATAATATAGATTGATATGTGATTCATATCAAATTTTGAATCTATTTTTATTCAAGTAATTTACTACTTATATTTAAAATGTGTTATTTTGTCAATTTTATAATGAGTTATGTATATGTAATATATTTTGTGATTTAGTTATGTAAAATATTTTAAAAGATAGTTTAGTTTTTATATAAATTAAATTATCTAGTTATGTATAATGAATTATTTTAGTTTTTGTAAAAGAAGTTGGATTTGGCGGCTTGTAAGAGTGGAGTTAGATATAATTGATATCTTAACAAGGATGGTGCAGTGTCTAAGCTAGTCGATGAAGAAATATATATAACCCTAAAATAGCATATAAGAACGAACTACATACACATCACACTAAAGAATGTTGCACTCACACTAGGTTTAATTTTACGCATGGTATTAATACTATACAACGGAAAAGAGAAAGACATTTTAAACTTATTCCATAAACCAAATAGGTTGTTAGAGTCTTAAGTTTACAATCGTTATGCTGTGCATTCGTATGCACCATGCATGGTGCATACGGATGCCAAAACGACGTCGTTTTATTAAAAAACGCGCGTCTCCCCTTTAAAAAAAATTCAGGTTCGATTCCCAGCAACAACATTATATTGTTCATTCATTCTGGAATTGTAGTTCATAGATTATGAAATTATAGTTCATCGATTATGGAATTGTAGTTCATCGATTCTGAAATTTTAGTTTATAGATTATGGAATTTTAGTTCATTCATTCTGGAATTTTTAGTTCATAGATTAGATTATGGAATTATAGTTCATCGATTATGGAATTATTGTTCATCGATTATGGAATTTTAGTTCATATGTTGTTGCTGGGAATCGAACCTGATTTTTTTTTTTAAGGGGAGACGCGCGTTTTATTAAAACGACGTCGTTTTTGCATCCGTATGCACCATGCATGGTGCATACGGATGCACAGCATAATTTGCCTAAAGTTTATCAATCATTATGCCATGGTGAACACGGTCCCAAACGGTAACGGTGCCTACGGACACCGTTATCTTCCACCAATCTTTTTTTTTTTTAATTAACAGCGCGACTTTTCTTCTTCATATTCACATTTTGCAGTTTCACTTCCTTTTCGCGCAAGTTTCTTCAACACTCATAAATTATGAATGTGCAGGCGTGGATTTATGAATGTGCAGTTGTGAAATTATGAATTTTTTGTTATGAAATTATGAATTTCCTGTTATGAAATTATGATTTTTCTGTTATGAGATTATGAATGTACAGAAAATTCATAATTACATAACTGTAAATTCACAATCTCATAACAGAAAATTCATAATTTAATAAATGTAAATTCATAATATGAACATAGAATGCAAAACGCCGTTAACAGCATATTAATTAAATTTATTTATTTTTCGGTAAAAACGATGCCGTTTGGGACCGTGTTTATCAAGCATGGTGAACACGTTTCCACGGCATAATTTGAGTAAGTTTATATATATGTCTCGAATCATATATAAGATTTTGGTAAAGTCTCTCCACATGATAAGTTTAACATCTTAACTACTATACATCAAAGCGCAATATAGAGATATGCTTAATATGCACACATCAAAATTAATACTCCATATGCACACACGCGTTTTTTATTTTCCCAATTAATCTCATCTATAGAACTATTTTTTTTAATGCATGGATCGGTTCTCATGGACTTATGTGCACATATATATCCCACTTGTCATTTTGAAATAAATAACAATGGAGAATCATCCATCTCCTATTCTCTTTGGATTCGGCCCTAGATGCTCCGTAGAATAAAATCTCTAATTTTATTACAATATTCAACCCATCATACTTTTAAGCAACTGGTTTCTTGAAGCAATCAATGAATATGAAAAAGAGATGCATTGTTAATTACTTGATCAAAGTTAAGTTGCTGCTTTTTCAAGTGTCAACTATGTTTTATTTTATTTTGAAAGGGTACATACTACATAGTGACCAAGCTAAGCGATCAGATATTCAGATCGACTACTCCACAAGAATCCACTTATCCTAACACCCATTGTATGTATTATGTATTACACAAATTACGTATTAAAGTGGATCCGTGGCGCAATGGTAGCGCGTCTGACTCCAGATCAGGTGTTCGATTCACGTCGGGTTCAATTTCCCGATCCACCACAGATTGTCCTTTTAGTTCTCAAAATAAATAAAAAATGTCTCAAAGTCTTAACCTTTATCCCCAAAATGACCGAATCAATTTCAGAGATGCAATAGAATTCAACAAAAAGATAACAATGGTATTTTATATTGAACAATGGCAATGGGATTCAACAACAAAGATAATAATGGTATTTGATATTGAACCCCAGCTAAAAGTCATGATAGATTGCTACTTCATACATGGAAGTACTTGCTAACACGAGTTTTTTTTTTTTTTTTTTTTTTTTTGACTAATAATAACTATCGACAATTTCCACATCTAATCCCACGATTTTAAAAACATTGTCACATTTGGTCCTCTGGCCTAATTTTCAATCACCAGTAAGGCAGTAACCAAATTTGTATTTCTATATTATTGAACATTAGTGCATAATAGTCAAGTAACTTATCTTGAAGGGCAAAATAGTCATTTATTATGACATTTTTCAACCAAAATAATTGGTCACTGTGAACGAAAATTACGCTGGACCAAATGAAGCAAGATTTTAAAATTCGTGGAATCAAATATGAAAAAATTAATAATCCCTACTAATTAAATGTAAAAATTATCAAATTTTTGTGGGACCAAAAGTGAAAAAAAAAAAAAAAAAAAAAAAAAAAAAAAAAACACCTGGTTTAACTCATATATAACTATGGAATGCCATCGCATCAAATCAAGTACATCAAGAAGCATGCACAAAGCATCATAGATATTCACATATATATGCATCTTAATCAAGTATAATATACATTGATATTGATATTGAGATAACAAAAGTACATCCTAAGAACAACAAGGACAAGAGGGGAAGAGAGCAAGGTTGTCATCTTCAGATCAGAGCTCTTTGCCCATTTTGATATATAGTTCATCAATTATATATATATATATATAGTTCCAAAACTACATAAAAGGTTTTGCAGCATATATAGGCTCGATAGGAGTTTCATATGGTACGGTATTTTAACATCTACGACAGTTATTTAAAGTTAAGGCATTGGTGATTCCTTTGGAGCAATTGGATAGATCCTACCTGGTTTCAGAAGTACCATGTGGATCCATCCTGCTTCGGAAGCTGATCCGTTGAATAATCAACCAAATTGCACGAGGAACCGAACTTAAAATCACCAATATCGCTCGAGTTCCTATTGAAGCCAGATTCATATTGGGTTCCAGTTGATGGCAAAACCGAGTGAGTCACGGGCATATTTGCTTGCGGCTGAAACACTCCACCTCCCGCAGTTGAGAAGTAGTCTTCCACGTGAAGTTCAACGCCATTATTAAGATTCCCGGAATTGAAGCCTCCGTTTTGTTGAAGATTGTTATCATAAAACGACAGAAGTTCAGAAATCGCCCTTTCGTCGTCTTCGGGTAGTCCAAGGGTAGAAACGTCCATGGGCGAGGAAGATATCGCTGATGCACCAGGTGGTTTGGGCGCCATCGATGAGTAAACTGCTTGTTTGCTATTATTTACTTGGTAGTTTAGCGTGCCAAGGTTTTGACAAGAATTAAGGCGGAAAGGGCAGCTAATCTGGTGATTATTTCTCGAGTTCCTGTCATTAAAGCCCATTAGGTAATTGCTGTAAGGACACCGAGGATACTCACAAGTATATATTATCATCTGATCTGCGGGATCCTCAACAGCTGCCGGATTTCTCTTCCCGAGGAAATGCGAGGCGATATCAAGAATCTCTTCTTTTATCTGAACTCTAGGTGCCCCGACCACGAGGTTTCGGGGTTTGTAATCCACTACTTCAATGTTATCCTCCTCCTCATCATCCACTCCTTCAACGTTGTAATCGCTCGGGTCGGTGATGAGATATAGTCCATTCCCGAGAGCTGAAGAAGAGCAGTTCGGGTAGCTATCGGGATACATCTTCCGAGCCAACGCCTCCTCTTGATTGACGATCGAAAGCCAGGTAGCACTCTCCTTGGCAGTCATCTTATCCTGCAAACATTTGGATTGGCGCACGAGTTTGCAGATCTTGGCAATGTCGGGGAACATGTGCTTAATAACCGCAGTCAAAACGCCAACTTTCCACGCCTTTTTCAAATCGTGGGGTTTCTTATAGGGAGGCGGAACTTGATCCTTTGGCAGGCTCAATTCGCCCCACCATTCCTCGTTCCCACTTGGCCACCAAGGCGGGGCTACGCCCTTCTCGAGGGGGAATCTTCTCTGCGGGGGATCGCAATGTTGCATCAGAGCCGATAAGAGCGACCCGAGCGTAGTATCCTGGAGCTCTTGCAATGTGTGGGGCGTTGACACCGCCATACTCGAGGAATCCTCGATCTTTCCCGGGATGTTATGCTCGGCCTGGTACCTGGCAATAGCAGCCGGGCCATTCCTGTCGAACCTAACCTTTTCCTTCCACCACGCCCGAAGATTATCCGAAGCTCCACTCACCGGCTTCCCCTTCTCGGGAATAATCCCGTACACGAAACCCTGGGCATTGCACACCTCCATCATTTTCAACATGTACTTTAGTATCCCGTCCTGTGCCCGGGACATCTTCTTTCTCCGCGCTTGCTCCTGGGACGGGCGCTGTTTCGGGTTCGGGCCATCAACGCCTTCCTCCTTACTCTTGTTCCTCTCCTTCAGCTTCCTCAGCAGCACCCGGTCCCTCCACATCCTCCTCTCGAGCTCGAGAACATCCACATCCTCCTCATCACTGTACCCATCATCATCGTTATCCCCTTCACCCGCAATCTTTACTTCCACTTCAGCTCCCATTTCTCCAATCCCGGGAGGTTCAGATTGGAATTGATCAAGATTCCCACAGAAACCCATTTCATCAAACATACCCATCAAGCAGATTGAAACCCAAATTCTCAAATTAAGTCCTAGCTAGATGACTTTTTGCTCTCCTCCAAGGATTCATAGAAAGCTCTGGATGATATTTAAACCAGATTTTATCAAAACAAGAAAATATCACATAGTAAATCAGATATCTTTCTGCATAACCATTCAATTACAAAACCGCTTTTAGATAATTCATAAAACTAAATATGGAGAAATTAAAGTTAGGGAAGACGAAAAAAAAAATATCTTTGAAACGTAACACCCTTATTTCAGTTTCCGAACTTAGACACTAAAATAATATCCTCTCTTAATTTAGACTATAAAACATAAATAATATACACAAACCGCCTTTGATCCTCTTTATAATACTCTATGATCCATGCTCTATCTAGCAAGCTACAATTTCCAAGATTTTCTTTTTCTCCTTTCTTTAACTAATTAAAGCCTTAAACAATAAAAACAAGCAAAAGGGTCCACGAGAAAACTGCAAAACTTTAATTAAAAAGATAATTCACAGGAAATAAAAAAGGGAATTGAGAAATGAACTCACAGATCTTTGTGTATGGCTTCCAAGGACCGGAGAGTTCATATGGAAGCTTCTCTGCTCGCTGCGAGGCTCTGTTCTTTTTGCATTCTTTTTGTTGATAATTGTTGTGGGCGGTGGGTAAAAGGATGATAAGAACGGCGGGTAAGGAAGTGGAGGGGATAAGGATTGAGGTTGATTGTTGATTGTTGATTGTTGATTGTTGATGGTTGAGAGTGCAGTGGTGACTCACTCTTATTTTTGTCAAGAGAGAGAGAGAGAGAGAAATGCAAATGCCAATTATGCAGTGAAAAAGTGGTGCCAAATGTTATACCTTGTACGTATTATCCATAGGTTTTCGGGACACTTTAAGTGCGGTTAAATCGGTCGCCATCTTCATTATATTTATAAAATACAACACAAAGTCAAACTATTCTTGAATTTTAAGAAAAATGTACCTTTTTTTTAATGCTACTTACTCTATTACAAAGTTAAATTTTTCGTTTCCGTTGTGAATTGGGTTTTGTTTTTTTTTTTTCGTTTTTTTTTAATTTTCTTTTCAATTTAAATAATTAATTTTTGAACTTTAATTTTTTAAAAAATAATTAATTTGAGAGGATGACCGGTTAGAAATCTACAAACTGAAAGAATTGTTTGAAATTAATTAGTTTAGGGACTCAATTGTTGATTTTTTAGATTCAGTGACCTAATTGCATTATTATGTGCAGTTCAATGACATATTTGACCCTTATTCCTATATTATATTATTGTGGAATAAAAATATTATTTGCATTATAATTAAATTTTATATTAAAAAAATTAAAGTAAACAATTAAAGTTATAATTTATTAGAAAACAAATATTTTAGTGTAGAAATAAAATTTGGTGTAATGCATGGGAGATGAATAACATTTGGTGTAAGAATATGCTGAGAATATTCATTTTAGTGTAAAATTTGGTGTTTTGAGTTGGAGATGGCCTTATTAATGGTAGGAGTGTAAATGAACTGAGTAAAATATCTTACTATTTGATTCGAATTCGACTATTTTGAGAACTATTCGTATTCATATTCGTATTCGATAAATATACGAATCTAAAAGTTTATTTGTATTTGATTCGACTACATTATTCGAATATATTTGATTTGACTCGAATATTCGAATTCGAAATGCTTAACTTAATTTTTTTTCCAAGTTCTCCAAAAAATTAAGATAAAATGTAATCAAAATTAAAATTTAAATAGCATAAAACACTAGTACAAAAAAGGCTTTTCGCGTCACCTATAAATCACTTTCCGAGTCACCTATATAGGTGACTCGGATCTTGGTGACTATGAAAGTCCTCCGCTTTCCGAGTCACCCATAAAGGGTGACGCGGATAGCTGAGGAAGGTTTTTTTTGTTTTTTTTTTTTGAATACAGACTTTCCATGGCGAGTGGCAACTGGGTGAGGGGAAGAAGAAGTTTTAGCTATGGCTTTAGAGTTTAGAAGTTCTGTGTGAGGGGAATAAGACGACTAGCGAGGGCTGAGTCGTTGAGGAAAAGAGGCGTTTTGACTTCTGGTCTTCTAGACTTAGGTGATTACTGGTTAGGTCTTTTTTGAAAACCAAAGAACTTCATTCATCAAATTAAATCTGAAATACAACTTGGTGGGGAAGACTCCCAAACACCTAGGACAGAGGATGAAACAGTTGCTCGTGCAAGCACATGAGCAAAATGATTCGCTGACCTTCTGACATGGCGGACAACAACGTCCCCGATGTCCCTAGCAATCAAACGACAATGCTTTATAATTAAACCAGCATAAGAAAAGTCCACACAATAAGAATTAAAATTGGTGCAAAAATTTAAACAGTCTGACTCAACAATCACGCGGGGGTTATTACGATTCTTTAACCAAGTGAGAGCTTCCTTCATCGCCATCGACTCAGCCACATGAGCGTCTCGGCAACACTGTAGGCGACCACCAATAGCAGCGACACAGTGTCCATCATGATCCCGCAAGACCGCTCCGAAACCCAAACCCTCAGCCATTATAGTAGCGTCGACATTACATTTCAATTTATTGTTTAGTGGTGGTGTCCAAGCGGAAGCAGTATGGGTTGTAACCTAGGTATGGCGGCTCGTCGAGGTCCAACCATCACGCCATGCTGAAACAAAAGCATGCACCTGACTCATTATCATACCTGGAGTCCAATTTTTGTTATTCCAAAACTTGTCATTACGTACTTTCCATATCGTCCAAGCCCACGCCACCATTAACAGAATCCGAGTCTGATCATGTGAGCCTAGAACCTCCTCAACAAACGCACACAAGGAATGACCATTCAGTACACTCACTCCACCCCAAGCCTGAAAAGCAACGGGACATTCACACAAAATATGGGGAATTGATTCGGTGTCAGAATCACATAGGAGGCCACCACCGCCAACCAAGACATGCTTAGCACGGAGAGCCTCGCGCACTGGAACCAAACCTCTCATGCAATGCCACAAAAAGTTCTTAATGTTTGGTGGGATTTTCAGACTCCATAGCTGGTTCGAACTAGTAAACTCCGAGACTAGACTAAGGGACGAGAGAGTGGAAGTTAACAATCGGTAGCCATGCCTAACAAAATACAAGCCGCGTATATCACCCTTCCAACACCAAGAGTCAACATGGTCAGGCGATATAGGAGTCTGAATAATTCTCTGAACATCATCTTCCACAAAGATGTGACGAAGTAAGTCCTCGTCCCAAGTACCATCCGCAGACATCAGGTTGTTTACTCGTGCATGTTTCAACTCTTCCACACATTAAGGTGCGTGCATGGTTTGAATACTTAAAGTGCACTATTTTAATGCTTAAAGTGTGTCAACTGCACAACCGTACGAGAACCCTTCCCCGCACGGCCGCCCTGAACCCTTCTCTCGTAACTTCATATTAATTAAAAATGAAAATTAGGCTTAGCAATTTTGGCACTAAAACTGCAATGTTTCCCACTACTTTCCCTCCTAAAATAATACTTCGTACTACATAAAACATAAACAACTTGCCACAACACCTTTAGATGGGTTGCAAACGGAAAGCTTGGACTTAACGGTTAACACCCAGATAGGCAGATATTTCCTCTCCTCATGTGATGGTCTGCAAAATGGTAAGTAACAACAGAGTATTTCACACAGGATTTTGTTTAACAGTTTACAGTGAAGTATATTGCATGACCAATATATTGCAAGTCTGCAACTACAGAACTTCTGAATATTATCTTGTTGAGCTTAGTACTGCATATACATCTTGGTTCCAGGAACAAATTAGTAAAATGTCAGGAACATAGTGATACATTTCCCGGTCAAATACCGCCTAGGGGGGTTACGAATGAACTACTAAAAAATGGAAGAAATAATCAACAGATGAATGTCAATAGCAAACCTACTCATGCAAGCATTGATACGGAGTTGGGTTCTCGTCCATGTACTCTCAACCTGTAGATGCATGTATGCAAAGTGTTCCCGTGATTGGATGCAAAGTCAAACCTAATTGTGTCAACAACACTAGTGGCTGCATACTCTAATACGTTGTAAGTTTGAGCGTTGCTCTTCTCAAGATCATATGTAAATTCTGTCAATAGAAACATATTCTCACTATTTGCAGTTACATCGGTCGTATCTTGTCCTTGGAGCCATCCAGACACCCTGCACTTCTTGGGAGCACTAGACCTATCATAAGCAACACTCTGTTCGCCAAAAAAAAAAAAAAAAAAAGTTTCAGTTAACAAAAATGTTTGAAGAGCACAACACATTTTCTCTGCACGACACAAACAGGAAAGCGCACACTAAAGTATATATTCCTTAACCCAATATACTCTTAAGGTATTAAGCTACTATTGCTATCGGCCTTGTAATCTGGTTGCAATGTTGCATCAACCTGTGACTCGAGTAGTAGGTAGAAGGTCATAGATTCAATCTCTAATCCCCACAGATATGCCCAAAAAAAAAAAAAAAAAAAACAACAACAACAAACAAATAAAGGCATTTGCCAAATTAACAGCAATCAGTGCATTGACCAACATGCACAGGTTATATACCACTCTCTCACAATCACTGGATGACAATTGAACTGAGGCAAATTTGTTGTCATTCATAAGAAGAAATCTACTCTGTACGGGATGTGTAACAGGAGATTAACACAAGCAAACAGGCTCACAACACCCTGTACTAAAAAGAAAAACTATACTGGAAGATATTCTGCAAAAAGATTGTCTGTATGATATAAACTGACCTAATTCAAACTTTTACACAAGTCACCGTTGACAAGGCCAGCTTTTGAATTTTTACCGCTTGTTTCATGAAATGTTGGTGTTTTACTAATATTCGTAAAGGACAAGACAACACCTTTATTCACTTTGGGTATTGAACTTTTACAGTTACAAAGCTGAAAATCTTTTAGAGCCAATTTCAAGATGACTACTACAAATGACTTTTATCACTTTGATAAAGCTAGTAACTGGAACCAAAGTTTTTGTCTTATAAAATATCTGAGTATCCTAGGCTGACGTATAACTCCAACGAAGTCAAGGCCAAGTTTTTTTGGTCAAGCAGCAGGCAACAAATGCGCAGAAACTGTGCAATTGCAGCAATACTTGAACTTTCAATAAGAACAAGTAGAAATGAGTATAAGATAAATATTATGAGAATAGGAGCTCTAGTAAAAGTAAAAGAGAGAAGAGAAAGCAAAACTAGCAGAATAATTAGGGTTTGACAATTAAGAAGGCAGGCCATTTAGCATCAGATGCCTAGTACATATACTATAAGCAATATCTACAAACAGTGACTTAAGATCCAAACAATAATAATAATTTCCTAGACAAAAACAAGACAGTAATGTTCCTGATGTCATGATGCTTTTAATAATAAAGTAATGGAAAATGCTTCTTTCCCCTCCTGATTTTTACCTCCAAACTTTTCCCTCATTATGTGTCTTTCATTCATTGGGTGCCAATGAATTGGCTAACCCACCACTACCTAATAAATAAATTTAACTACCAACCACATTATGACACATCAGGAGGGGAAATTTGTAAGGAAAATACAGGAGGGGTTTGTAGCATTACTCTAAAGTAATTTCCCAAAACATTGAATTGAAATAACATAGCTACCAGTCCCAGTTTCTTACTGAGTCTCATTGGCATGCAGTAAGCAGTGATTGAAGCAATCATGTCTAATGATTTCACAAAAAAAAAATTGGTCCTTAGGTTGGTGCCACAGACAAACTCATAATTTTGAATATTATAGTTTCCCTCTTTATTTTATGGGTGCAGTGTAGATGTATAGTTTTACTCTTTGAATATAAAGAATTAATATTAGCAATTTTCACAGACTATTATAAGGGATGATTTTGAAACTGCCATTGTAGTGATTGTACTGCTACAATCTTGAAGGTAATAGCAAGCTACGAAGGCCAAACATTGCATCAGCTATAATAAATCACCACTATGAATCTTAGATTCAGACATGTAATTGGTCCACCAGATCAAGCATCATGGCACAGCCGCACAGGAAACAAAGGACACTAGTTCCAGCCACATGTTCTGACAGATATGTATAAGTTCTGGCTCATGTATTGAATTTAACTACTTCCACAGCAATCTACATAATAATTTTGCAAGGGGCACTTTGAGTTGTCATCATAATTCATAAATTGCTAAGAACTTCATAGCAGAAAGGCTTATCACAACTCTACATGGCACTCATGATCCATGGCCCAACAATAGTAGTTCTCTTAAGAGAGTCATACAGCAATATGTTTTCAACACCCAAAGCCCCCTAAAAAATTGGTTGTTTTCCTTCTTAAAAATAGATAATATTTCTTTCCTCTTTTGGGAGGTAGTAGCTATATATATTGCAAACAACATCAATAAAATACAGAATATACAGGAGCCAGTTTTAACCTAAACACCCTACCAATCCAGTAAAACTTTCAAAGTCACTGAACAGAGAGTTCTTCGACAACAAGACCCTTAACATGTGGAGGGGAAGTGGGAGAAGCAATATTCAACATATAGTTTAATGTTTCAAGTTTTGGTCTTATTACAAATATATTTTAACCCTGAAATCCAGTTTAGAACTAACTAAAGTAAGATCATGGAATTATGTCCACATAAATCCAAAATAATATGGAATATATATAATTCAACCAAATATCTACACCACAATGCTGTTATTTTGGAAAGAAGAAACTATGAACAGCTACTGCTTTAAAATTAGTACTGAATAGTTTGAAAGTGAATCACCTTAGAAACATGTTCCAGCGTCACAGCTTCTGGAATAATGGCTCTCCGGAGCCTGACCTGGAAAAACCCGCGACTCCCTCTAAGTGGAAAACATTGCCCAGGTTCTCCAAAACTTGGTGTCAGGATCTTCTGGGCATCCATATGAACTGTATTCTGCTTAGTTAATGGAAACCAACTGCTACTCCCTCCCTTTCCAATGTTATAGGGCTCCGAATGCTTCACTATCATTGCCCCAGCAGAAGCCAAGGCATAGTCCACCATCCCTAACCCATCAGCAGCATGCTTCTCAATCTCCCTTTCCACTATCTCCCTAGCATATACCCTTACCTCATCCAAATTCACATTGCTTACCTCACTGCCTTTCCTCTCCTTGAACTCTTCCAGGAACTTATCAAACTCTTCTTTTGACAGCCAATTTGTTGCTTCCGTTTTGCTCATCAATGTCTCCAAATTCCCAGTTCTCCCATCCAATTCCTTGAGCTTCGATTCCAATTCTGTTTCTTTTCCCTCAAGCTTTTCACTAAATTCCCCTTTTACAGTTCTAATTTTGTTTTCGAGCTTCTTGTCGATCACATCTACTTGAACTTGCATCATTGTAGTGATCTCCTTCACAAACGCCTCCATCTCTGCTAACTTTCCCTCGAAATCCCCAGGCATCACGGCGAGGCCTTCACTGCTTCGAGTGCGCGAATCGATAACCAATCTCCGAACCATTTCAACCAAACCCACGAGGATCAGCAATAGCAATAAATTTTTAGTGAATACACTGACTACCGTCAGCCATCTCGGTTTCGCGGGCTTGGAAACTCTCTTCGCGGTCCCCGCGCGGCGAGAGAAATGCACGACGCCATTGGAGGTAGGCGAGGGCTTCTTCACCACTTGAACTGCATTTTGAGTTTCGGTTCGTACGGAATGATGGTTAAGCTCTTTAATATCAGCACCGCCGGCCGCGAGTCCATCGTAGCCGGTGGATGGAGGAGTGACGGCAGCCGCGGCGTTGGCGGCGGCTAAGTCCAAGGCGGTAGGCGGCTGCTTTTTCTCAATGGCGGCTCGGCGCCGGTAGGCGACGGAGGCGGGATTGGCAGTGATCGACATTGTGGAAGCTGACATTGATTAATCTTTTACCAAAATAAGAAAGAATAAACGATTGAAGCTTTAAAAAAAATTAATAGTAGTAAATGAAAAAATCGATGAACCCTAAGGGGGTGTATTCAATCAAGACTTTTAAAGAGTTCCAAAGACTTTTAAAGTGATGAATTTTAAGTGACTTTTGTAAACTTTTCTAGAATCTTTTAAACTTTTATTAACTTATTAAGAGTCTTTAAAAATCCATAGAACAAATGTTTATAGACTTTTAAAAACTTTTTCATATTAACAAGTCTACAAAAGTTATTAAAACTCTAAATTGAATACACCCTTACAAAACATTCCATAACTTTTATTAATACATTATTTATAATTCTCTTATAAAAAATATATTTTAAATTAATGTGTTGCAAAAAAAATAAAAAATAAATATTGATTGTCACAAAAATAGAGTATATTATACATAATAAGAATCTCTCAAAAAATTCAACTTAACCAAATACATACATTAATAATTAATGAACATATAATAACATAAAATTATGTTAATTATATATAAAAAAATAAATATATTAATTCTACAATTTATAAAAAAATTATAAAAGATTTTTGCTGCGAACAGCAACAAGATGATGCTACTGTTCGCAGCAGATTTAAGTAGAGTTAAAATCTGCTGCGAATAACAGCAAGCTGCTACTATTCGCAGCATGTTTGTTGCTGGGAACAGCAAGCTTGGCAAGCTTGCTGTTCACAGCAGCAAGCAAATTTGCTGCGAACAGCAACAAAACAAAATTGCATAAAATATAATAATAAAAAATAATTATAAATTATTATGAAAAGTTTGAAACGTACCGGAAAATTTGATAGAAATTGATAAAAATAAAATTGTCTGGTTTAGATAGAGGAAAAAGTCTGTAGAGAAAATTGAAAAGTTTGGGGTTGGAGGGTCGGATTTCATCTATTTATATTAATGAAGAAAAAGTCTACAGAAATCCTATTCTGATAGAGTCTATGAAAGCTGATAAATATTTGAATACCAGTAGACTTTTAAAGACTTTATAAAAGTCTTAAACGAATACCAGTATACTTTTAAAGACTTTTGAAAAGTCTGAATCGAATACCGGTAGACTTTTAAAGAGTCTTTAAAAGTTTAAATTGAATACCACCAAACTTCGAAAGTCGTTAAAAGCCTTTAAAACTCTTTAAAAGTCTGAATTGAATACACCCCCCTAAAACACAGAAGAAATCGAAACCAAGTTGGGGAGACAGAACTGTGAGATAACTTGTTTGAGTTGCATTTTCTATGAAATTGTTGGAATTATTATTTTTATTTTGTTGGCTTTGTTTTTGTTAAAAGTCATATTAATAAAATACTCTTACTGTCCAATTTTATATGTAATACTAATTTTTAAGATATGCCCTATTTACAAATAAGTACTTTAAAGATATATATTAGACAGATGAAATGACTACTTTATTCTTTCATTTAAAGTCTAATTTATCGTAATCTGACAAAAAGACCTCAATTGGAAGAAATTGAAAGTCAAAGGACATAAAGTGTCCAAATTAAAAATCGAGGACTAATTTTTGAAAATCAATATAGTCGGAGGACCATTGCTGGAATTAACTCATTCAAAAATTATGTAAGAATGAAAAAAGAGTATATTTATTATTGTATATAATCTACACATCTAAAAAGAGTCAAAAATTATAATTTATGACTCTAAATAAAACTGAATAATCAATAATAGTTCACAGTACGTGATAACCTTTAGCCTATATTTTATTAACCAAACATGTCTAATTAAAGATTTTAAAAATCTCATAACTTTTATTTTATCCTCTTTTACCTCTTTGAGTAGAGTCTTTATTTTACAAAATTGATTGATGATCTTACCTATCCCATACCCCACCTCCCTCTGCTATAACGACGCAGAATTTCAGCATCAAGAGTCCACCTTTTCGGCTACCTTCGGACGCCATAGCCGATGATCGAAGCTTCAACAGCCACCTTCAGACGCCATAGCCGCCTGTGTTTAATTTCCCGCTGGAATCTCCGACCACGGCTGCTCGCCGCCGCGTACTTCTAGCCTCACCTTCTGGCCATGTGAATGCTTTAAAATTGATTTTTAATTTTAAATGGTTAATTTATTTTTCTACTTCACGTTTTATTTTGCTTATAATAATAGCTCGAACGCCTTATTTTCTTATATATTCTCTTTCGCCCACTAATCTTTCTTATAATTTGGGAACTGTTGTTGGATTTTGGTTCTAATTAGGAATCCAATTTTATTCACTTCTTCAGGTTTAGGGTTTGCTGAGGCGAGGAGGAGAGAAGGCCGAAGCAAGAAGTGACGAGAACGACCCCAGGTAATTGATTTTAACCCTAAATTTGGATCTCTGACTCGTTGAATTCCGCTTTTGCATCCTCGCAGAAAGTATGGGCATAACTAAATGTGCTATTTTGTGTTACTTTTGAAGGCATAATGAAATGCTTTGTGTAGTTATAAATGCCTGCTAAGCAACAGTGTTTGATTCACCCTAAATATATGAACAACTAGAAGAAACCTCTTAAATCTATGCCATTGAATAGGTTCTTAATGCTGTATTTACAACTTACAGAAGTTTACATCTTTGATGTTTTTGTTTATTATCATGCTGACTTGTGAGTTTACATTGAAAGTTGTAACAGAAAATCATAGTCGAGGATTGTAAAATATACAATATCAGAACAGTGAGAAATGTAGTTTCATTTCTATATAATATATCATAGCATATCATACGACTGCGATATCAAATAATATAATATCACAATGTTGCCATAAATCTCATCAATATAGTCTAACATCAGTCACATTGTAACTTAAGTTAGAAGAACTATGGATAACATGTTAGTTTCAAGAGATCATTAATGAAGGTGATGTACTACACCTTAAAAAATGAAATTTGTATAAATATGTAATTGTTGTGTTTAGTTGATGTAATTTTGATTTTTGCAGAACTTTCACTTTTTAGTTGGTTGAATAGAAGGTTGAAGTACCATTCTTTTGTTTGTCACAAAAATCAGGGCGCTATTGAACTCTAGACTTCAACCCAACAGCCTTTGGCCGTTGCTGGCTAAAAGTTGAAGTACCAAGACACAAAGTAATAGAGTTTGAACTTAGAAGAAGATGAACATCAACAATAAAGATGAACCAAACACTGCCCCAAAACCTGATCAATGGTACAATTTAACGCTAGGCTCTTCATTCAAAGAACCGCATCCTTCCTCCAAGTTCTGCACTTTACGATGTATGTTTCTCTCTCCTCTGTATATATATGTGTGTGTCTGCATATCTGTTTAATTATACATATATATCCACGGCACATTTCTTTTGTTCTTTTTTGTTTGTTTTGTTTTTTTGAGTTGAGCCTATTTTGTAGTTGATTAAAAATGATAAATTTGTGCAAATGTCACCTTTCTGCTGTTGACATAGCGAATTTGATTTTTTTCCTTTCTTCTATGTTTCACATTATGTGATTTCTTAATTGTGGATTGATGGTTAATGTGTACGTTTTTAATGCAATGGTAGTTTATATTGTTTAAACCTTTGCAGATGAGTTTAAACCGGCTTCAATTGACAAAAACCAATCTGGAAAACTACACAAGAACAAGGATAATAGGGTTACTGTTGAATTTCAGAACAGTCAGCCTGGGAAGCCCAAGGTTAGCTTTGAGGGGAGTAGTGAGGATTACAAAGAGAATGATGCTGTTCTATTTTTTGATGGTGAGACGTTCCGGTTGGAGAGGCTGCACCGGGCAGTCAAGCGGTTGAAACATGTTCGGCTCCCTGGAGAATCTGCGGCTGTATCTGCTTCTGCTTCTACTTTTGCGAGTGCAACTGCAGAGACAAGTTCACCACCAGTTGTCAAAGCACCTAATTTCCAGTCACAGAATAATGTTGCTCGTGCTCTACCTGTGAGTTCCTCTTTGCTGAATTGTTTCTACTTTAACCTTTAAATCTTTTTGGTAATTTGAATAAAATGATATGTATCACAAGATGAAATATTTCAGAATTATGTACCTAAATGTAAATCTGAAGATGTCATATTATTATATGGTTAAGGTATGGCCTTGACAGGTTTGAACAACAGGATTGATGTTCTCATGAAGTGTATACTGATAAAATCTGCAATTCTGTATAGCAAGTTAGAAAAAAGGAACAGAAATTTTCTAAGTTAACTCTATGCATTACACCTTGGACGTATCCCATTGTTTTCTTTGTAGTTTCAACTTTGAAACCCATGCCGAAATATTTGTCACTGGAAATGGGTTGACTGCTAGATGAGGTTTGTGATTTTCAGTTTGTGGCTGTCTTATGCCGAACTTTTTCCTAGAATATCTTCATAAAGGATTAATGCTGCAGTGCTGCTATAAAATGGAAATCCATTGAATGACATTTGAAGTATATGATTATCATATCATAATGAGCATGTAGTGCCTTGTCTTATTTCTTTCATTGCTTTCTAGGGAGAGCTAGTACTTTTTTTTGGTATCTGACACTTTTGCTAGTGCAATTAGGTTTAAATAACTGGTGTGAGTTTGGTATTTCCCACATTTTGGCGATAAAAATTAGATTTTCTTAGAACCAATGATTCTCTTTGGCTTGGTATTTGCAAGGATGTTGTTGGATTTCTAATATGTCTACCTTTAAGCATGCATTGGTTATGCATATATAATTTGCTGCTCAAGTGATTAAGATTTCAACTTTAACTTAGCGATATAAAAAAAAAGTATTAGAAACACTGATTCCTTCTCTCTTATATTTCTTGGTGTAGCTACTTCAGATTTGAGATCTTATATTTCTTTAGCCTCTGATTTCTGGTTATAGTATCATGCTTATTTAAATCCCATTGTTTTATTATATTATTTTCATTGCATAATAGGAAATAAAGGATTGGTTTTTCTATTTCCTTGCATTATATTAGTAAAGTGTCCCTCCACCAGTTGTGCCACCCACTTAAACTCTTATGTTGCTTGTCTGCACAGCTTGAGGTTGAACGAATTGAAGTTGGTGACATCAAAAGCTCAGGTATGAATTTTCATTTAAATGGTTTCATTGGATTTAT